CCCTCTTCAGGCCAAAGCCAAGACCCTCTGATTAGATGGAGTGTTTTTGTGGGTTTCAGAGACACCATTTTTTAAAAGTCCTTAAGACAGCACCACTTACAGAGAGTGTTCTGGATCCTTTATGTTGTTACATGATGGTAAATTTTATAATCTACTGCTGCATAGGGTGCTAATAAATGCCTCTCTAATAGGTGAATACTTTTATTCCTAAAATGTCTATTACTCTAAGTAATTCAGAAATCCTAATGAATAGTTATGTATAAGGAACTAATTTTGAAAATGAGCCTTTGGAGTGCATGAAAACAAAAAGAAATGCAGTTTGCTTAAGAGGTGCTGATGAGATCAAAGAAGTCCAACAGAAAATGGAACTCTTGGACTTGACAGGAATAATTTTGTTAAGTGTGAGCAGATATGACTCTCAAAAAGAGTAAGCATCCAAATAAGAGGCATTTAATCTTGCAATAAAACAGTGCTTGAAGCATTTGCAAACATTCATCACATTCTTTCAGTATGGGCAAGGAATATTTTAAGCTGGATTGTCACTATCCTTTCAGGCAGAATTCAACATATGAATACAAATGGCCTCTCTACCTAGCTGGCTAACAGTAACAGGTTGAAGGATGCCTTTGCACCCACTCCTGGCTTTAAAAAAAACACAGCTGATGAAGAGGTCACAGGCTGCTTCTGGGTATAATGTTTCTTGTGGCAGTAGTTAAATTTAAATTTTGGCTGATATAATTTCCTGGTTGGTATACTACAGTTCAGACCTTTATTCTTGTGCATTTCTTCCCTGGGTTCACTTCTTCTCAGGAATTTGTTTATTTATTTTCTGAGCTCAGTGATGTCCTTTTACTCTCAGGCTTTCAATAAGCCCCTTATTTTCACTTGACCTTGAAGTGAAAACTTTCTTCAGTATTTCAGAAGTTCTGCTGTGTTTCTACTGTCCTGTTAAACTTCAGGTGCTGGGGAGGTTGGCCTTTATATTTTGGGTGGGGTTTTTTAGTAAAAATATAAGCCTTTTCTGTAGGATTTTTTGACATTTTCCCCAGAGTGTCTGAGAAAAATCTTCCAAACTGCTTCAGGCTTCTTACTCTTTCTTTTCAACTCTCTACACAACACGTGCAAAAGTTTCTGTTTCAGTCTTTTTTCCCCTCTGTGGAAACAAAACCTTCAGAAATACTGCCTTTCTTTTTGCTTGCAATCTAGTTGTCTTAAATACTCTTTCATTTGAAGTATCCAGGTAGAGCTGAGTCTAATAGAAATGTCTATTTTTCTTCATTTGCTTTCAGGTAAAACTAGATTATCTCATGATGTCTTGCATTAAAATTTGAACAATAAAGGATGATGCTGCCTACACAACACACTGAGCGTGTGTGCTAAGGTAGATGCCTAAGGATTGGATGTGCCTGATGTGTAAACTTTCTGAGATCCTCATGCACATCACATACCTTCTCCTGTCCCCAGTTCAGACAGCATTCTAGCAAACTTCACATAGTATGAACTCAGCAATGCTGCAGGAGTGTGATTAGACTTTGGAGTCTTGTATTGGTAAAAGTGATCTTTTAATTGCTGGTTTTAATTCAGAAATTATGCAGCAAAGCATTGTACCAGGTGTTTTAGACTGTGAAATTAGGAGAGGAACATTTGAACTGCCAACTACTGAAATAAATATGGTTCAGTCTCATGCCTGTAGCTTTACTGAAAAGAGTAGGCTATCAATTTCACATTGCCATGCTGACTCCAGTGTATATAAACTCTCACTTATAATATCTCCAATGAGAATCAGCACATAGACACAGACAGTTAGTTGTCTCATATTACCTTCCTCAGGAGAGTGGATTTTGGCAGGTGAGTACACCTAAAAATGTTCTGTGGTAAACACCTGGTCTTCTGAAAAGTGATCTGTTCCATAAAGTTTAAGTCATTATTATTTGTCATGTCACTTTCTTGGCTGGTGATCAGCTGCCAAGGATTGAAGTGACATATAGTCATCTGTGGGAAGTCAGGGGAGGCAGTTTGATGGAACAGGATGCTCTGCTTTTCTTTCATTGCTATGATTCAGGAAAGCAGTGGCTGTGAGACAAAGCTCAGAATATGCTTCTAATGGTCAGACAGCCATTTTCTCCAGAAAGGGCAGCGAGTGACGGGTTCCCCTGCAGTGAAACCCAAGTTCATGCAGTTTCTGTCAAGAGGAACTCCAGAGTCTGACAAGTTCCATGTCTGCCTGGGGCCATGGAAGATGTTTTCAGTGCTTTATGTAGGCCTTTAGTCCTAAATGTCCTGGCTTTGTGCTTGGTGAACTCATAACGGATAGCACAGTGTTTAACTTCCCTCTGTGATTCCTCCTCACTGTGTCTGGTTATTTTGCAGACTTTGCTGTCTTGTGTATCTTTGTAGAATGTTTTCAAGCATCCAAGCTGATGACACCCAGGCAGTCACAATTCCAACTTGCTCAGAAATGCACTGGGAGCCCCATTATTGGTAATGCTTCATGTATGTTCAATATCCTGGAAGTGGTGAAAAGAGTCATGGTGTCAGTATCGAGGAATGGGATAAACTCAACAGGCAGAGAGGAAGTACTGGAAATTATGGAGTTTTCATAATTTCAATGTAAGTGTTCAACACATTTTGGATCCCAAATTAATAGCTACTAATGAAATTCTTTGACCATTCAGTTGAAGTAAAATTTTTAAATAGCGCAATGTTTCTAAAACACTGAAGAAGTAAAGAATTTAATTCAGACATTGGAATTTTTGAGAAAAGAAAACAACTTACAGTGCAGCCACTTTGGAAAACATAGTAATAAATATATCATATTATCAGTGAAAAGCCGAAACAATCATAAAGGAACATTTAATCTTCCCTTATAAATACACAAAGAAAGAAGCCATTCTGCATTAATCTGGGGTAGAATTGGTTTCAGTTGGCTCCAGTGATGGATCAGAATGCAATTATTTGTGACAGATATGAATTTCTTGTAGGTATTTTATACAAAAACACAGAGAAGTGACAGGAAATGTAATAGGTATTTGGACCACAGCGGAAGTTTAATCTAGCTTTGAACCACATTTAGTTCTGTAGGAGTGTACTGCACTCATCCTTGAATGAGATTTAGTTATTTTGTGCACAGATTATGATATCACCACAATAAGCATGACAAATGCTCCAATTTGAGCAGGAATCCTGTCTGAATGTTAAAGATCCCCTTCCAGGCATTGCCTCTGGATTTCTAATTTCCTAACCATATTCATTATGAAAAATATATGAGATATCAGCAAGTCCTTATTTTAAAAAAGAACAGGAAAAACATCCAATTAAAATTCTCTGGGAGGAAGTATTTTAAGTACAAACTCTAAGACACATGCACCTGTGCATCCACACTTACCCTTTCTCCTTTCCAGAATTGGTAACTCTTTTGGGTCTCTCTCCAGTAAAATCTCTTTATGGGGGTCCTGACCAATATTGTGGTTTGCAAGGTGTTCAGAAGTATTTCCTGTACCATCTCTGTAGACCAAGGATAACTAGTCTGAAAAATTGAGTTCAGTGTAACATGATGAAATGCAGTGATATTTTCTGACAGCAAATTATTTTTACATGATATGCAGATGAAAAATTTATAGTTTTTCATCAGATCTCAAATGTATATAACGTGGTCTTCTTCCAACTAAAGAATGATGATCACTCATAAAACTTTACAGAGAAATGGGAAGAGGAGTAACATAAAGAAAATAGCAATATATTTTGCATTTTGATTAAGTTTATTGGAAAGGCATTATATGTGACATTAAAGGACTTGTTAAGGTTCTCAAATTTGGCATCGTAAGGCATTGCTGAGATTTGTGATTAGTGATTGTAGCCTCAAAATGTCCTTAATTTGAGCATGCTTGTTATTTTTTAATGTGTGTACGTACCTTGCTGAGATTTTCCATTTGTAATTTGTTTTTACACTTTCAAATTTTGTGAAATTATTCCATGGTTTGAGTCTGGGGTAGGGCTCTTATTTTGATCCACTGTAGCTTGTTCACTGTAATTTTAAACACTATCTTTTTCCTTGTGTATAACACCTTTTTCATATAAAATAGCTGTCTGCAACCAGAAGCTGGGAAATTTTAATGAACATTTGAACTGAGATACCCATGGCTGGTGGCTTGGAGTTTGAGCTGGACTGCATGATCTTCTTTATGGTAAGATGAGTTATAAAACTTAATTTATTTTTTTAACATACTGTCATTAAAAACTTTACAAGATTTCTCTTAAGATTAGTTACATAAACCTAATTATCCTGTGCAAAATTCAGCCTAGTCACACAAACCTCTACTTTATTTTGGCTAAATCCATATGGTACACAAAATTATACCTTTATGTATACACTATATAACTTGCATTTTCATTTGTAAATATACTTTGATTAGCTATTTGGTGGAAGATTGAGATTTGGTGGACCTCAAAAAAGTAAGGTGATTCTAACAGAAAGTAAATTGTAGGACTTATTTATTAAAAACTGTAAACTTATTTATTAATAAAAATAAGTTTTTATAATTGGAAGTGATCAGTGTGCTTCATGTAATCTGGCAGTAAATGCCTCTGCACCCACAGGGCTACTTAAGTTCAAAATCAATTTGGTAATCTTCCAGCTGGAAATTACAATAAATTAAGGTCATTTCTCCAAGCAATGACAAAAACACAAAGTAACAGATCTTCTTCCTTTGTGTTGAATCACACAAGTAGAATTAGAGCCTATTTAATTACATCTATTGTTGAATGTTTTGATCAGGCATTTAAATACCTGCTTCAGGAGTCACAATCATATTTCTCCTTGCCAAGCTGGAAACATTAAACCTCCAAGCAATCAGAGCAGGCATATCTGTTCTTCACAAAAGGACATAGGAGAAAACTGGCTAAAAAGTAAAGCTGCAAAGGGAGTGGAAAAAAGGGGCAAAAAAAGGCCAAGGCCTACATATTGTGGGTTTTTGCATTTCATTTAAAAATATACGTTGATTTCTATTTTTATACTTTGCCATTACAGTCTGTGGTTTTTGGTTTTTTTTTCAAAATGTATGAAAGGCCTAGGAAATAAGGGTAAGTAGGGATTTTCCCTTCTCATTTGTGCACATCTCCATGTAATTTTGCAAGATATCTTCATATCTACCATATCTCCAAAGGTGAGGCTGATCATTGCAAAGTACTTTGTGGCACAACACAGTTAGATTGTCTTTATCCTCTCTGAACTCCAAAAATGGTATTATGTAAGTACTCTCATCTTCTAATTTGACCACATGGAAAAAATCCTTTTGGTACTCAGAATTTGCCTCTTGGTACTTTTCCTTGATGTCAACTTTAATCAAACATCTAATTTATTCAGTTTCACAAAACAGAGTTTTGGAAATAAAGGTTCATTCCTCAAGCACATGCAGTCCTTGATATGTTTTGCATGTGTCAGACATAGTAGCCTGACTCTGACTTTTGAGATTTGTTCAGGTTTTCTGTAGGTGTAGTAGGACTGCACCAAGGAAGATGATGCAGCTTAGGACACCCTGTCCCTTCTAAAAGAACAGACAAAAAACTTTTGGGGGAATTCTTTGCTTTCAGTTTACTCGGTAACTTAGTTTTGTACTCCCCAATCCCTTGTTTTCCTTGCTTGTTTAAGGCAGCATGAATAGAAAATGTTTTCTCTAGGGGCTTGGAGAGGCTAAAAGGAAAGATAGCACTACAGCGACTGGATGAGATTGTATAGAATTCATTCAGGCTATTAGGTCTTATGAGCAGTAAACAAAAAATCTGCAAACATAAGTGAGATTCATGTTTTTCATGTTTAAACACTTTGGCCTATTCAGGTAAACTGAGATGCAATAAGTTGACTCAAGAAATGCAAAGAAGGACTGCATTCAGATGGATTAGCTGGAAAAGCCTGTGCAAACTGTAGTTGATGTTGACAAGTGAACTATTGAGTCTGTGTTTTATTGAATTTTGTTCAGTTAAATAATGTATGAAAGTGACAGAAGGAAATGTATTAAACTTATACATATGGATGTTACAGTCATGCATGAACATTTTGGACATAAAAAGCTACTTAATCATTTTTCTCAGATAATAATATTTGATGTTGTTCTCAGAAGTATTTTAAATATAAGCAGATAGTATTAATAAAGTGATGGAATTGAATTTTAACTGGAATTTTAGTTAAGTTAATGAATATTCATCTGGATAACTTCTGCCTCTGGACTAGACATCCATGATTTTCAATGCCAGCATAGCATGACTGTAGTCCTGAGTAGTCAATTAAAACCTTATTATTCATAACAATAGATGAATAAACCAAGACCTCCTACATGGATACAAGTCTATATTGTTGTAAGAGACATTCAATTTCATGTAGACAAAATTGGAAGTTTCTGAACTGTAATTATGCTTTTGCAATGTGTTATAATTGGACAAATAAGGTTGAAAATGCTTTTCCTTTTATATTCTGTAGAACAGTGGTGAGTGAGATATGCTAAAAATACATGAAATCAATTTCTCTTGCTTATTTCACATGGCATTTTATGTTCCACTGCACATTTATAATTAGACTTTGTGAATATCCAAATGGTACAATGAGGGACAAAATGTTACATTTTTAAAAACACATTATTATAGTAATGTTTAAAAACTTTTTTAAAAATCTATGTTCCTACATGTCATTATCAGTGAGTGAATTGTGGGTGTTTCAGAAAATGGAGGAAAAATACAAAATCCATTCATTGTACAAAGATTATAAAGGACTTTACATTTGCTTAATCCTTGCTTAAGGGTTTGCAAATTCGCTCTGTATTTTATCTCACTGGTGAGGTATTTCTTCATTGAAAGAAAAAAGTTTTGCCATTGGCTTCAGCAGAAGCCAGAATTTTTCCCCATGAAGAGCAGAGCATTGTAGATATTTCACTTTTTTTCTCAATAGGGTGCTTATTGTAAGGTATTAGAGAACTTTCTCCAGGTCTGTACTCAAATAAATTTCACCCCATCAGTATTGAACATCATAATGACATTCTGGGTTCCAGCAAGTAAATTCTGCTTTAAGATGGATTGAGTGAATACATTCAAGTAACAGGAATTTAAAAATGCTGTGACTGTGTTTTGGAATCCATTTCAAACACAGATGGACTCACTTCTCTTTTCAGATTCAGCCCAACTCCCCTTATCTGGCTGAGTGGTCCCACCTACCGGGAAATTTCCACAGGGATTCATATGAATTGTGAGTGTCCTGTCTTGTCTCTCATATGGTTTTTATGTGGGTGGTGCTACTTAGTGTGAATCTCATTACTCACCAGCTGGCACCTGAATAGAAATGCTAAGAAACACCAACATACATGTCAAAACAGGTTTTGCTTTAAGATGCATGTAAATTAGTAATACTTTTTACCTGAAGACTGTGTCGTCTTGAGGCATATTGTTTTACAATTGAAAAGGTTATATTTTGTGTTTCTGCATACATAGCACAGAACAGTTGCCTCTAACAAGCTAATTTGAAAGCTTAGCTAAATACAATTAGATTGTAGCTTTCATGGTAATGAACTGTGCTTTGCTGTGAGACTACTCTTTTCCTTATCCTGAGATAGAGAATAATGTATGCTTGAACTTAAGGAAATGCTTTATAGTGTGGTCAGTAGTCATGGTTCACTTAATCCAACTTAAATTAAAGTGAGGGTTGGAAGGGCTTCTATATTGATTGTATAGAAAGCTAAAATGTAAACAAATTATTAAAAGGAGCATTTGCTTATTAAGTAGTGGTGGTCTGAAACCCAGCATCACCTGCCCTGAATGGCTGGTTTAGTTTCAAAGTTACAGATCATGGAGATGATTTTAAAATTCGGGCAATAAAACAAAGGTTAGAATATTTGTTGCACTTTCTCCCTCCTTTCAGTATTTCATTATCAGAGTGCTCCTGACAGAAGCAGCTTTTTCGTTAGGTTCTATGAATATACCTCCTTTAAGAGAGACATTTTCAGTCTTGAAAGGCAGAGAAAAAATTTAAAAGAATTATATCTCAGAAAGAGCTTAATACCCTTGCTAACTCTGCATACCATAAAGCATAAAACTGATACTTCACTTTAACTATTTGTTAGTGTTTCTATTGCAACAGCATCTCTAGAGTGTCTGATCAGCTGTTCCTCTGGGCTAGACATTGTACCCCATTGTACAATACAATCCTTCCTCCAGCAGCTTGTGATCTTATGATCTAAGGGCCTACTCTTGCGATGGATCCCAGTACCCAAATGGAGCACAGAAAAGCCCAAAGAAAAGCCCATAATATCCGAACTCATAGACCTTTTAATTCCAGAATTGTAGAAGCAATAAGCAGTGCTAGCAGCAATAGGGAAGAAAAATTTCAAGCTCCTTTTGTTAGTTCCTAACAAGGACCCCATTCAGCAGTGCCTAGTGTGCCAACTAGCAGACTAGGTCACAGTACTTTATGCAATTTCATTATAAGCCCTGCTATTGAGAAATTTATAAGACTGCTATAAAACTTCACTCAGGGCTGATCAGTGCCAAAGAACATTCCTTTTCCATTCAAAAATAACATGTGGCTACTGTTGATAAATGATAGGGTTGCAAAAGTGGAGACAGAGAGAAATTTGCAAAGGCATAAATTGGTGTTTGACACTCATTCTCTCTTTCTTGGAATAGCAGCCAATAAATTCAAAACAAGGAGAAGAAAAATCTTTTACACAATTCCTGTGTAATGAAACATAAATTTTGATTAATAGGAGGAAGTAACAATGGAAATTTTTCTCCATAATTCCCCCCTTGCCCCCAGACAGGAAATTCTGATCCAACTCTGTCTTTCTAAACTTGTAATTAGATTTTGGATCATGCTCTTTTTGTGATTGAAACTTTAAAAGGACAAGTTTGTTAGAGTTTCAAAATTATCTTCTATAACTTTTCCTTCATATAATTTTATACCTGCCTATATTGTCATTTTAACAACTTCCTGCTGTGATAAATTGTAATGACTATCTGCCCATGATCACCTGTCAGCTATAAAATATTGCAATATACATTTTGAAATTGGACAAATTAATCTTTACGTGATAGACTTTTTCACTGTCTTATTTTCTTACACACCTCTGTAATATTTCTTCTTCTAAATTTGCCTGCCTTTTAATTAATAAAATTAAATAAAAAGAGTTAGACAAGGGAAATTAAATTTGAAGTTGCCAAAGGACAAAAAGTTTGAGCAATACGCACAAAAAACGTGGCAAATCAGAGTTCTTCTTGCACCTCTATTCTTCAAGGATTTACAGATAATATGGGTTATAAAATCTGCTAATTTCTTTCTGTTTTAGAATGAATAGTGAGTATTCATGGCATTTTCAAGTATATATTATCTGGATATGTTTTCTCATTTCCATCAACACTCTGATTTCTAGAAAGGTGCAGGTGGTCCTCACTGACTGGGTATAACAGTCTCCCTGTAAGCATTCTGCCTCCTCTCCAAAAACAAATTAGTCATGTGCTTTTGCAGTATGTTCTTAACCCAGACACATGAAAAAAAATGGTAGCTACCCATGAGAACACAAGGAAAAGGTGATGTTTAGGAAAAGGTGTTTCTGACTATTAGTCTAAAATGAACAGCTGAGCAATACCCCTGTTAAGAACTCTGCTGGTTGTAACTTCCTTTCTTTTCTCTGGTGTTTCAACTCTCTGTGATGGAAGATGAAGAGAATGCTGCTTGTGGGAGGCAATTTAGTAAAAAGGAATGAATGGAGAACAAATATGACTAGTAAAGTGATAAGTGACAGTAAGTTCTTGCAATATAACTAGAGGATGGGATGCTCGGACAAATTACCTGCAACCTTCTGGGCCCTTAGTTTTTGTTGAAAGAGACTGACTTATAGGGTACAGAATATCTACCTTCTCCCTCTAAAATTCTCTGACATTCAAAGAGAAGATTCCATAGAGTTGCTTCTGGAGAATACATACATTATGTCTAGATAAGTAAAATTTCTTAAAACATCTTCTAGTTGGATTAAGCAGGTCAAATTGAGAATTAAAAACAGCCTTTTACCTCCTATTGCAAATGAAAGAGTTTATACAAAATTCCTAATTAATTTTAGGAAAGAACAAAAGGCCTGTTAGAAATGTGAGGTTATCTTATCTCATTTAGAAATGTGTTATCTCACTGTTCTCAGAAATATATTGCTATATATAAGGAATAAAGGAGCAATAACACTTTTAGATTTTCCTATACTTATCATTCATCATTTCATACATAGATTTATATGTATTAAAAAGTATTATATGTGCTGTGTGTAGAGGTGTTTTGTTGTGATGTGGAAAACCTGCTTTTCATAGTAGCAAATGTGGCAGGAATTTTTTTTCCCATATGTGATATGGCACTGAAATATTAGGAGTATGATTTTGCAGGAGAATACCAGTTTTAAATATATTACATGTTTAAAATCCCAACTGAACATAATATAACTTTACTAGCTCATTTCTCCTGAGGCATCAACACCATTTATCACTAGTACTTCCATCTGGCATGTCTGAACTATCATGATCAGAATTTTATGGGGAAATGAAAGCATTCAATATGGTCTCTCTTCTCTAGCGCTCTTAGGTCAGATACCATACTGCTGCAGGGAGCAAAGATGCGTTTTTATCACACACTTGAGAGACATCTATTTGACATACTTTATATTTTCCTACGCCAAGACCAGCCAAGATTTTCCTTATTTGCACTGACCTGGCATGGGGTCATTTGCTATAATAACAATATAAAATTAATTTCAATGGTTTTTTATACTGCAGTGTTAAAGATTTGACACATGCAGGCAAACATTTGGGAGCTGAAACCCAAACTCTAGTCTTTTATTTGCAAATTTTAAAAAGGCAATGGAGTCTCTTGCCCAATATTTTGTCCCCAAGAAAAGGCTGCATGTGGTTTTCCTAGCTGAGGTCTTTCTGAAGAGGTGGTAACTGCTCTTATTTTCTCATGGAGGATTAATTGAATGTCATACAGTAACTTGATTAAGTGCTTCTTGTAGTTTGAGTTTAAAACTTGAATTTCATTGAGTAAAAATACTTGGCTGTTCCTTTTCACACCACAAAATCATGAGTCTCTGTTGATTTCTAAACCTCCGTTAACCATCATGTGAAAAGCAGCGTTAGCACAAATATGTTTTATCATCAGATCCTTGACGGCCATTTCTGATAATTTTAAGATGGAGAAGGAGTTATGAAACAAAATTTTAGTCTATAACTCCTCATAGATCACTGCACAATCCTTAAATTCTTTAGACCTTTTCCTAATAATGTATACCTACTTACATAATTTCAAACTCAATTTTTCAGTGCAACATTAAAATAAAGACATTATTTTTATTAATATTATATAAAGCATGAAAAAATACAGGTAAATTTAATGTAACAGGATGTAGTGTAGCTTGCTTGGAGGTTTTGGATAAATTTTGTTCCTAGCATTGTCTTTTATTGCTTCATGTGTTTTGTTGGTAGGAAATTATTACATTAAGGCAAAGGATCTTCTGAAATTTGTAATTTATATAGTCACCCTTATCTCTCAAATTCCCCTTTCCCTCTTTTTTAGTATCGCAACTGAACCAAGTCCTGTCATCATCTGCTGCAAAAGGGCTGATCAGGTATGTCTTGCACAGGATTGTGGTATTTATTTTACTTATGTAAGCATGGAATATGTCAACTAAAAGCAGCAAAGCAGCTCTTTACATAAAAGAAGAGCTGCTTTTAGTTGACATATTCCATACATAAATACAGGTCCATGTTATATTAGTGGGTAGCTAATACCAAGCTGGGGCCTGAACTCAAACACCAGCTCCATAATTGCGCTCTAATCTACCAGAAAACCCAGATGTATATACAAGTAAGACTGGTGATTATTCTAAATTCCTTGTCTCTACTGTGAAACCTGACTTAGGCATTCCATTTGAGGGGTTTGAGCAGAGGAAGAACCTCTCTCATCCCAGGTTAGCACTTGTGGGAAGCAGGAAAACCATTCCAAACCTACAAGTTCTCTGCTGCAAGTGACCTCTCAGCTGCATTCCAGTCCTCTGGGTGGCGCCACATGAGTGACTCCACTCCTGCCTTATGATATTCTTACTGGCAGAAAGGAATCCCAAAGTGTGACTCCACTGTCAGTGGAAGCATCCAGGGGACCAGGAGCCTCCTGAAGTAAACCACTACACATCCCACCTGTCCAGTGCAGACCAGTCACTTAGATGAGAAATCCAGTTAGGAAAACTTCCTTTTGAAAGGCAAAGATTGGAGATGGCTTTGAGAAATCTCATGTGTCAATCAAGTGCTTAGTGTTGTGTTCAATAGCACACAGGTGACATACCAACCTTGAGGAGAAAATGACAACCATGAAGAACTAAAATCTGTTTAGGACTCTAAATTCAGCTGTGTTCATTCAGCTGGTTCTCTAATACAGACATTTAGTTTATTTTTCGATAATAGGTAATTCCAGAAGAGAGCAAAACTGAAAGACCCTTACTATTATTATGACTTCTGTTAATAGAGTGAAAATTGCTTCCTGTATATTAGCATTATAATACGAAATACAAATATATTTACATTATCACAACTATTCTGCACAATTTTTTAACACATCCATATCTGTTAATACTGAAAGAGCTGAATAACTTACTGCCTAGCCATTAATGCTTTCAAATAGCTTTTCTCATTCTCTGGAAACATACATTTCAGTATCTGTTGAAGGAATTAAAATTAGCTTTGGAGAACTAAATCTAACTGACTAGGATAGCAAAAAGTCCTGAAGGAATGATTCTCCACAGATTGGCAAAATACTGTTAGAAACTTCTAGAAAATAACTAATCACCGAGGGTTTTCTCTAGCTTCACATATGCTTTTATACTCTTCCCAAGGGATAAACATGTTTTATATGTTTTCTACAGGGAAGAAGGAATGGCTTGACTTATCTATATTTGTTTTTTTAAAATCTCAGGCTTGGAGTCCTTTGAGCTGTCAAACAAAAATGAAAATTCTAAAAATCAGAAATCAGAGCTCCTAAATTTCTAGCATTCCATACAAAAACAGGTCTCTGTGCAACAACCTGCGACATAACTGTCAGAGGTCCTGAAAGGCTTTAGGCATTCAATCAAAAACAGACACTAAAGTTAAAGAAAACCTGGAATTCATCACAAGTATTTCCTATTTGACAAGAAAATATTAGTGTAATATTGTATATGAAACAGTAATTAATCAATAGAATAATTATAATTTATGTATTTATTTTTTTCCCAATAGTTTTATGTGACTTACATGCAGTAATCATTTTGCTGTGAATGATGGTTTTGAGCTACCATCTCCCTGAAGGCTTTCAAAGTTTTATTTGAAATGTCTTTATCATCCTCCAAGCATATTTACAGAATTTGCATTTTCTTTCGTTTGTTTGGGATTTTTTAGACACAAATAAGTAATACAATGAGAAAAACTATGGAAATTATTGCAGAATAGTGTGTATATTTTAGCGAAAAGTGCTTGTATGTTAATATCTTTTGTTTAATCTCAGTTCATGTACCACTTGCCTAATATATAAGCTACTAGACACTGACCTGGGCCCGTTTCTGTATATCCCATGTCCTCAGGCAGAACTGAAATGTTGGTTGATGATTGGTGCACTATTACAGCTTTTGACGGATGGAAATGGAAGGTGTCTACAAATCTACCTGTTAAAATGCCATTAGAGATTACACCAGCAGTGTAACTTGGGGTTTTGCTATCCTTAGTTTGGCAATTACATGTCACATTAAAGACATTTATTAATCCAAATTTCAAATACCTATCAAGTTACATACTTTTCCACAGGAGCATCAACAAGAACTTATTTTCACTATTTCATGGTATCTAACCAATGCCCTTATATTGCAGAAAATGTGCACAAACTAAATGAGACAAGCTAAGCAAACTCCTCAAAATCTAGGACATGGCATTCACTTTCCATGCGTGTGCAGTCTTTCATGTAAGCCCAAATGGAATCCATTTTGTCATCACAGTTCAACAAGGCTAGAGAAAGCAGACGTGTTAGCATCACTGAACTGTCAAAAAGCAGACCTTCTTGTGAGTGCTGAGGTTGAAGCACAGAAGGGAAAATTTTGCACGGGATGACCAGGTTTGCCTAGTAGAGACATACTTGAGATGTGGGCATGTGTGTCTCTGGCACCACAGCTTAAAGGACATTTTCTCCAGCACATTCAGGGCTCAGCATTTCCTATATTTTTATCAGGTTTTAGAGCAGTATGTGGTAGATAGATGGTACAGGAGAGGAACACCTCTGAATTCAGTGAAAGCAGGATTGTGCCCATCACTTCATTTAAAAAGTTTTTTTTTTTTTTAAATACAGGCAGTATCAATACTACAGATTATAATTCTGTTTTAAAACATCTTGCAGCACCTAACAGAGCTGTCAAAGTGTCAGTAACAAAATGTCACTGTGTACCTGCACTTCAAGATCTTTTTATTGGGCTCCTCACTGTTGTCAGTGAAGGTAATAGCTTATAATTAAAGTGTATTTAGAAAAACAAATCAAAACACAGGATTGTTTGTAGATGCAAAGTTCTTCCTAATTAATGCACCAGGACATTTCCCACAGAAAGGTGCCATAACTCTCTCCATTACCATGAACATACTTTGGATTTCATTTATTGGAAGAACCTTCAGCTGATAAAGGGTAATTATTTAGAGAGTTTGAACCTAGGTGGTTCTTCAGAGCTTTTCCCTGTGAAATGATAATGTTATTATTTTCTTGCTTTCATTCTTTGTTTACTTTATGTAAAATACAAGTAAAACATCTATACAGCGAGATTACATGGTTCTGTCTTTTCTGACTAAACACCTGTCACACGAATTACCTTACTTCAAGAAATGTGAAATACTTTTCTTGCAAAGCAAAGTCAATATCTGCAAAAACTGTTGCAAATGAATTTTCCAAAATAATCTGAGTCTCTGTGTAAATAATGATAATGTCAGCAAACCACTGTGAAATTTAGAGTGTATCAGGCACAGCATTGCCAGCTGGTCAAGGGAGCTGATTGTTCTGCTGTGCTCTGTGCTGGCACAGCCTCACCTTGAGTCCTGTGTGCCACAATACAGGAAAGACATAAAGCTGTTAGAGAGTTCGGAGGGGACAGTGAGGATGGTGAAAGGCCTGGAGGTGAAGCTGTATGAGCAGCAGCTGAGGTCACCTGGTGTGTTCAGGCTGCAGAAGAGGAGACAGAGGGGAGACCTCGCTGCAGTCACAACTTCCTCATGAGGGGAAGAGGAAGGGCAGGCACTGGTCTCTTTTCTGTGGTGACCAGTGATAAGACCTAAGGAAATGGTGTGATGCTGGGTCAGGGGAGGAGCAGTTTGGATATCAGGAAGAGGTTTTACACCTGGAGGATGGTTGGGCACTGGAACAGGCTTCCCAGGAAAGTGGTCACAGTATCAAGTGTTTGGAAAATGCTCTCAGGAACATGTTGTGATTCTTAGGGTGCTGCTGTGCAGGAGCAGGAGTTGGACTCAATGATCCTTGAGAGTCCCTTAAAACTCAGCGCATTCTGTGATTCTATGATTCATGATGACAATGCTGTTTTAGTGAAAAGTAAGAAAACGGTTCAATACTCTTTATGGTGTCTCTATAAGAAAATGAAAGTCTGATTTTGAAAGTCAATTCTTAAAAGCACTGAACAATGCAGACCAGTTTTCTGTAGTTTCATTCACCTGGTTTCTGTTCTTGCAAACTTCTCCAATTCAGCTAACATTTCCCATATTTGCTGCAGTTAATGTGTCTTCTGAAGTTGGATATGTATTCAACTATTCCCATCTACTTCATAAAGCATACAATTAAGGCTATATCTCATTTTTAAAATTCATCAATTCTTTGAAAGAATTTTGAACCTCTACTAATCAGTAAATGTAGCAAAAAAAATTTGGTGCATTACCATCACACGGAGAAAATAATGTCAGATATGACAACTTGGACTAATTTAATTTCACCTTTTATAGAATCTTTTATAAAATGCTATTCCATGATTGCTTCCACTTAAGTCTGCTCTAACATGACTCCTTTTCTCTCCTTCCCAATCTTCGTTTTTTGCTGCTGCTTCTCACCTCCTTTCAGATTTCTACCGCTGAGTTTTTCTGGGTTTCTGTTGAAATATTTAGTTTTCAAGATCTTTTGAATTAAAAACTGCTATGCTGTATCTTGCTGTATGAATACTTACCATGGAGATAGATTAGTGCATATTTGCAATATTATTAGATCATCATTTAACTACAGTGCTGGGACTTTTTGGCATAATTTATGTAAGACAATTCTTTATCTAATGTACTTAACAAACTGTTACTTAATTGGCAGGTCTTGGAGGCTTTACTTACAAATCTGTATGTTATCCATATCTTCAGTAGTGAAGACAAACTAACAAACAAGATCGTGCAGTTAAATGGCTAAAAACTGTAAAGTAAAACAGTAGGTAGTACCTTGTTGTTTCTTTAACTATGTAGGAATCCAGAGAGTGTTAGAACTGTGAAAATCCATGGATTTAATTATTTGTGGAACTGTTAAACAGTCTTGAAGATGAGTTATAGATTTTGTCCTGGAAAAGGTATGATCCTGAAAACTAGA